CAGTATATATAAATCATCAAAGAAAGGTAAATACAGTGTTCGAATAGATGACATGATAATACATCGTGTAGCATAGCTCTCAACGAATGTTATCCAATAAATAAATACATTGTGTATGTAATAAGATGCTTCCGACAAGATTCGAACCTACGACCTCTTGCTGTCAAGGCGAGCGTCATATTAGACCACAGGGGATTCATAATATTTAAATCTTAACCATTTTAAAAATCTTTTTTTTTTTCTTAAATACTAGTGGCAGAATGAAAATGGACTTTGTATTTTGTGATTTTGGTAAAAGACAGTAAACATTCACATGCTTTCTTTTTTCCAGATTAAGCGCCTTGTATCCTTGTAACGGAAAAGGTGTGGTACAAACTGCCTGGCCATTACTATGCGTTTATACTATTGATTAAAGAAAACTAGGTCTATCTACACTAGTATTGTAATGCACATTATTTAATTAACAAATGACTGTTACTTGGCAACACTACTCCTACAGGTTTGAATTACTTGCAATACCATTATATGATTATTTGGCCATCTCGCAACTTCATTAGTGGAAATTATATCATTCTGGGTGTATTTTTTGACGAATTCAGTGATGTTTTTAGTAAAAATATTCCCTATTTGAAAATAATTTTTGTGTCTATCCTTGAAATAGAAATTTAAACTATTTCAATCTTCCAACATATATTTTTTATTTTTATTGAAACACAACATATAACTTTAGGGCCTTATATTGCTATACAACAAGAACCTGTCAAATCATATCAAATCATGAAAATAAAGTAATTTTGGTGTTTGTTATAGTTAAAATCTAGTTCAATTTTCTGAAACATACGTAATAGGGTGTGCAAGTCTAAAATTATGAAATGATATAAAGTCAATAAAACGACAATTTCTATGAGTCGTCATAGTAACTGTCTTCTCTAAACAGAAGGTCTATCCATAACCAATCTATCATATAAATTCGAACTATTTTTAATTTTCCGCCATATTTAATCATATGGCCTTATTGCTATAGAAGAAGAACCTGTCAAATCATATTTGTTTATATAAACACTAAAATAAAGTGTGATTATGGGAGTGTGATTATGGGAATGACAAACATCATGTTAATGACATTTTATTTATGATTATTTTGGGATTTTATCATATTTAAATTTGACGATGGTCCGGATGATATGAATTCGATATACAATGCAAAGAATACAATTTATACCTGCGTTTACAATTTAAAAACGATGTATTATATTAGGCATCCATGCTAACTTTCAGGCAACATAATTTACTCTGACAACGTAATATAGTTATTCACTATAGCACTACAAGAACATTCGACAATAGATATATGAGAGTTACAACACTACAAGACACAGACAACAAATTTGATCTGGAAAATAAATGAATGAATAAACAACATTTATGAAAATCACCCTACCTACTAGCGCATCCACATGGCCTTGGAGGGTATTCAGAAAATAAAAACAATTGGAAATACTGTATCTAGAAGCAAATTGGGTTTCAAACTTGTATAATGTTCATCACAATTTTTAGATAAACAAAAGTACTAATATATACAGTGTATTCTGTATTTCGATTATTTATTCATTCAACTGTTACCATAGTTACGCACACTATATCTTCGTTGTCTTTCTCGGAGGCAGCAGAGGATGAACTAGGCGATCGTTTTAGATATTTCTCGAGAGAAAAACTGAATGTGATAACAGCGACTGACAGTAAACTTAAGGCAGCTATTGACAGCATAAATACATTCTGAAATAACAAACACAAACATGAATTTTGTATAATAACTTTTAAAAAATATTTTAATTAATATCGCTCGTATAATACTCACAATATTAGTGCGATAAGAGATACCTGATAACAATGATGACAATGTAATAGTGATAATTGCTTTTATGTATAATTGGTATGTGTTTAAAATTTAATAATAGTAATAATAATAATAATAATTATTATTATTATTATTATTATTTTATTATTATTATTGGACTGATTGATATACTATTATATGGCCTATCATTCAAGTTCAGTATCAAAAGATAAACAGCTCGCGTTGGTTAAAACATTTTTTTCTGAAATCATACACTTTATAATAAGAACCATTTCATTTGCATATCAAGTCTTATGTAAAATTTTTTATGATTTTCATGAAGGTATCACCACAGACTATATTTTCGTATGTGGTATACCATCAACGAAGCGATCTTAATGACACATATTAATTAATTTATTTACTATTTATTAAATTTTAGGAGACAATGAAATACAATATAAAATGCCCTCTAAGGATAAAGCTTTTTCTACACTATCAAATTTGATCAAAAAAGCGTCACATAAAATGTGATGGAACATAAAAGTTGAACACGTTCAACTTTTTTGATACAATTTGATAATATGTGATATGACGTCATCGTACCCATTTATGGGCACATCACATTTTTTGTCACACAAAATTGGATAGTGTAGACAAAGCTTAACTAAAAGTGCATCGAATAAAATCAAAATATGCAGACGTCTGAAGTAAAAACCAAGTAGAGTAAATCATATAGGACTACCAATAACACTAATAACGTATACAGTACTGTATATACATTATA